CCTCTTTTGTAGCAGAGGAAAGATGATCAGGTGATTCGTCTGGAACCCGAAAGAGGAGAAGGAGGAGAACAGTCGTCTCGTGCCGCGGAGGCGATTCGTGTGGAGAATCGGGGATTTGGTTTGACAGATTGTTGAAGGCGGAGAGAGATTGTTGAAGGCGGATATCTCGATGAGATACGGCGGAGATCTCGGAGAGAAGGAAAAGAGATTGTTGAAGCCGGAGATCTCGATGAGATACGGTGGAGAAGAGAGAGGCGTGATGGATGGTGACGGCAGAAAGAAGCGGAGAAGAGATCTCGCCATTGTCGCCGTCGCACGAGAGAGAGAGAAAGAGATTCTTTCAAAACGTTTCTAATTTTTTTTTCCATTATTTTTTTTTGTTTCGCCTATCCTAAACACACAAGCTAGTAACCGGACGACACCTGTCCACAATGAACCGCCTCATCGAACTCAATGGGTTGAGTCGTTTCATCTCAGTTTTAAATATTTTTCTAATTTTTTATTATTTTTTAGCCCAAGAACCCACTTTGAACTCATGGATATTTATGCTCTAATAGCTATTTTAAAACTGAAATCGGACAACGAGTTTTTCTATATATTCCTCTTTTTGATAACGTAAAGATGATGAGGAATATATACCTTTAACTAACCAATTGTCACGTCAAGTTCTTACTATATTGAATTATTGAATAAACTTTTCTACATGTGATTGATTAGTATTTAACCTTGACACTTTCTATGTCATCTTCACCCACACCAACGAACCAAAAATTGTCATTTTCCATTACATGGCTTCTTCAGTAGCAAAACCCAACGACAAAGGCAAGAACAAGATTAAGATTCGTGACGACATTGAAATCCCAGATTTTGTGTCCACTCATATATACCTCAAACGCACTCATGCCACGCAAACACTAGATCGAGAAGTGATTCTACGGTGCATACGCCAACGCAGACGCGCAAACAAGGTCAGATCGGTTTTCCAACTACTGTTTGGTCTGCCCTTTTTAAGTAAAAAACATGATGGTAATGCGGATCAGGATCCGGATGATGCTTCCACAGCTCCTTGACTATTGGAATGATTTCTATATCAATATCTTTACTTGTGATGATGATGTTGGTTTGTAAATTGTAACTTGTTAAATTTGTATATTTTTCTTATATCGATATGCAATGCCGACCCTGAAGCTGGATGGGTCCCAAACACAAAAAAATTTTTGGGCCCATTAACTATAAGTTGCAAAAACTTCAGACCCCTAAACCCCCTAGATATCTTTTAAACCAAAAGTACTATTGAAGATTTTCATAAGTAATTGGCCCTTCAAATAGTTGTTATAATTTAAGATCCAAGCATGTGCTTCCCCTGCTTCCATCCAGGGTCGGCTCTGTCGATACGCATATGTGAGTGGTTTAGCAAAAGAAAAAAGAAGCATATGTAAGCGTAGGTCTTCAAGAGAATGTGCGGACACTATAAGAAAACATGCCAATTTTAGACGGAATTTTAGACGGACTATAACCCGTCGGAAATTTGCCACCGAATTGAAACATATTTTGGACCGAATTTCGACGGAAAAAATGTCAGTCCAAAATCGGTTAGAATTTTCCGACGAAACTCATTCCGTCGGAATTCGGTTGGAAAAATCGGTTAGAAATTCGTGGGAAACGCATTCCGTCAAAAATCAGAAAGAATTTTTTTCCACATAATTTCGACGGTTTGCATATTCCGTCAGAAATCCCTGAGAAAGTTTCCCACGGATTTCCTAGAGAATGTGGTTTAGAATTACAAAATTTAATCATAATATTCAAAAAAAACTAATCCTACAAGATAAATTATATATATAATATAGTTGATCATAAACAATTTGCTTTCATTTTAGAATGTCATAATTTCTTCATAAGAGTTTTACAACTTCTAGTTTAAGTTATAGTATACATCACTAGAGTTATTTTCGTTTTTGCAAACATGTTTTGTAAATTACACATAAATTAAATTTAAACATGTTTTTGTAGGCTGATGATAATATTCTTTCAGTATAATGTATTTTGACGTAGTTTACATCAATTTTGCATATCCTATACCCTAATCCTAGAAAATATGTGGCAAAATTCCAAGTGATTTGCAACAGCTTGTTTTTTTTTTAAACATAATTGCCGTGGTAAATTCGTCGGAAATGGATGATAAGTGGAGCGACATTGATCAGTTTACCTTCATCAAATAAACAAAGAACCAAAACATAACAAAAAATTTCTTTGAAAGACAAAGCAAAATTATTCAATTTAAAAATGTTATTGTCTTACTTCTTATTTCACATATGTCCATACTTCCTGACAATCTCCAACAGATTCTCATCCATTGGCATTCTATTAAGCGTCGTTTTTAAAAAACCACTCCATTGGCAATGCTTTGACCATTTTCAGACATTTATCTCATCTTAGCCTTGCAAAGTTTGACCATCTTAGTCTCCAAAGAATGGGTGATTAATTAACCGCCTGCAAAACCTGCAGAGAAATCACAAACATACACATCTACATTATCCGAAAAGGCATTGGCTGGTTACTTGAACCTGAGAAAATTAGGACTCACCTGACACACATATAGCATTTGTGGAGCTTTTTTCTTTTTCCCTGCTCTCGATCACCTATCCCGCCATAGAGATTGTATCCTCTATATATTAATTTAGGAAACACTAAGGTGAAAATCTTATGTATCATTTAACGAGGGTTTTAAGGAACATATTATTTAAATTAACCAATGAAAACATTTCAATTAAAATTATATGTCATGGTAGAAATCTCAACATAGTCTTATTAAGTTTTATAACATAAGCATATTAATACATGTTTTACAAATCTAATTTCAACTAAATGTAACATTTGGACTTACTAAATCATCTAATTTTTTT